AAGTTCGAGGTAGCGAATGAGGCAACTTTGGCTTGATTTACCACTGAGGGAAATGCACGGAGAGTTCCCAATGGTGCAGAGCATCGTACGTAAGAAGGCAATTCAGCTAGCACAAATATTGCATCATGATGACTTCATGGATTCCAAAGGTTGGTTTCGCACTTGGTCAGACAGGTATGGCATTCAATCGTAGAAAGTAAGAAACAAGAAACTCATATGCATTCCTTTGTACGTCCGTAGGGGAAGTTTAGCGGTATCACGTGATGCAGTGGACGAGTTTCGAGGGCGGTGACCGCAGTTGATACATGGATATGCTGACTGTGATATTTAGATGAAACACATTTGTATTACAGCCAGCTCCCAGAAAGAACATTAACTCTGTAAGGAAAGCCACTTTATGGGTCCGAGAAATCCAAGGAGATGGTTACATTACTGCTTTCTGGGAGCATGACTTGAGAAAGGTTATCACCGTTGGTGGTGGGAAAGTTTCAAACTCCACGATGCCTCCGACGTATAGATAGAAAAAGCCTTCCATGCAGCTATAATTTTTCAGAGAACGCATGGATGACTTCTACGTTATTGCACAGTTGGCTGTCCGATGTCAGCCGCAAATTGGTTTCTCAAAGACGCTCTATTTAACTATTTATGGACAACGCCCTTGCCATAACCAAGCCGCAGTATTCTCCAACTTCAAATTGGTATGGCTGCCTTTGAACTGTTCTTCAATGTTACAACCAATGGATCAGGGTGTGATGTAGTCTTTCAAATGTTCGTTTCGGAAACATTTACTGGAGTATGTTTTGTCTTTGATCGAAGATGAGCAACTTAGCATGAAAGCCGAGGTGGATATTCTCATGGCCATGCATCTGTTCGAGAAAGATTGGGTTTCTGTGCACTCGCACGAACTGATCAATGCTTTCATGAAAGCTGGGTTTAAACCCACATTGAATCAGTCGATCACGCAGACAATAGAGAATAAGTGTGATCTGATTTTAGACTTTACTCACCATGTGCCTATTGATGAGAGTCTTTCTGAAAGATTTAAAAGATATATTTCGTTCCAACGGACGCCGCAAAAGTTATTGAGAATATGGCCGTGGTCAACTGCAATCCTATACATAATGATTTTTGCGATTGCAAGTGCTTGATGGGATAGAAAAGTAGTTTAGCAATTATTTGTTCATTCGCTCTGTATAGCAACTAAAACTGAACCGAGTGACATGCTGGTTGTTCAACTTTATCGTGATCCCTACCAAGTGGTCTGCCTGATTGCAAGTGTATAAATGTGACCGGAGACCAGTTGAATAAACACATTGACCGCAGATGTCCACTCTTAATTGGCTGCCGTCTGTCGATACGGAAACACTAACTGAAACTACCCAACGAAAATGCACGAATCAGAAAGTATGGGGTGAAGTTGTTCTAATGCTACACATGCCCTCCTAGCGTCCAGTATACTTTGGTGATGAGACGCTGCGTAACTTGGAATGTGTTATTAGAACCAGATTTTCTGAGTAACAATGAACAAATTTTTCAAACGAAAAAAAAACACCGACTGGTTAGAACGAATAGCCATATGTAGGACTGAAGTTAAATAATTTCAACACAGAACCAGTGGGCCGCAATGAAATTGGAGAGATTTTCCATGGGCTGAGTCACTTGTATATTTTATGGCCTATTGTATGGTCCTCGACGAACGGGGAAACAGAACCTCATTTGCATTATGATCTGTGGATTCATTTACTTGTTGTAGCGAAAAAAGTACATGGGTATCAGGAATGGCGTCTGTTCATCCTTTATGGCCGACCTGAAAGGTGATGATGTCGACCATCACCACGGTTGTCTTATACCCCATTTGTCAATAGTCTTACATGTTCGTGCACAAGGTTTGGTCGCTAGCTTCCCGATCTATTAACGCTGTGACCACAGGTGATTCCAACGTATGGATGTGAAAGTGAAGCGTGTTCAATTCACCTCTAGCAGAGAGCATTATCCCACGCTCAAGTCAAGTCAAGTCAGTAGTAGCTTTATGCACCGGATGGGTGAATTTTCAGCAGTTATACCATATTTGTGGATTCAAATTTACAAATTCATTACATAATGAAACTGAAAGCAGCAGATTGTGTTTGTCAATGAAACAAGTATTTGCGCAGTCCTGTGGAGATTTTCTCCTTGTTAATAAGTAGAGGTACGTGCAACTAAAAGTTTACATCTTGAGCGTGTGGATGATGTAAATGCAGCTTTTGAAAATTCGTTGTGTAATGTAATGGGTGGTGAGTGTCTGAGAGTATTTTGGCAGTGAAACTTTCAGATGCTTGTAGGTGTCTGTCTATGATAGAATCCGCGAGTTTATCCTTGACAATGCCACTACATTTGGAGATGTTTCAGAGATCTGGCCAGTAAACAATAGTCTTTCTTCAACATACCGGGAAAATCACTGGTGAGCAATACAACGAGTGGGGTAGCACGCATGCATTCACAAACCTAACACTCAGCTTATGGGGAACAGAAAGTAATCTCAATCGGAGTGAGAAACATGAAAGCTTTCTAACTTTACAGAAGGTGTTTTGAACACGCAGTAACCATGATAAATTGTGTGATAAAGTGACACCAAGGTATTTTACTACTGTTAATTTCGGTACGGGTTGGTGATTGGCAGAGAGGGTGGAGAACCTATCTGTGAAGGCTGAATATGGTACATTCCGACGTTTAGAGGCTGACCCTAACCAACCTTTACATCGCGATTTATCTGAATGCTGCTCTCATACGTCTACACGTTCTTCTTATCGATTTTTACCCTCTCTCGCATTGGTCTCTACAGAAATTCCCCAGTTCCCTACCTTGCCAGAATCCTTGTAAACCGAGAGCGCGCTTCCTCAGAATTTCTCAGTAACCTTAAAGGCTAAATATTTCACTTGTATCTTTCTTTCTAATGATGAGATGTGTAATTTTTTGACTGAGATGCGAACATTCTGTTCTCGCAAAAGTCTATACAAATACAAATATTCAATGAGAAGGAACGGGACAAGGACCAATTAACAGCGTCGTTTAGCTTGCTTTGAATTTCTAAAGCCTCTTCAGGAGTGGATGCTTTGCAACCTAAAACAACGTTATCTGCGTAGTTACAGCCAATGAATGCAGGGGGAATGGGAAACTGTTTGACATGCACTGAAAAGAAAAATAGGGAAAATATTGCACCTTGCAGAACATCAGAAGAAACTGGGCGAGTGGAGGACTTTTTGCCGTTCAGGCACGTAAACTGCCTTCCAGTTGTGAAATAATCGCAAATCAATCTGCTAACGTTTGGATTAACATCACTTTCGGTAATCAGGTTGAGCAATACCGATCGATCAAGACTGCCAAAAGCGTTTTTGCAGTCTAAGAACATCATTCTGACGGTCTTACTTTTCTTATTTATTGCCGAAATTACTGAATAAACAAGTTATGCAACGGCATCAAGTGTTGAGCGCGAAGAGTGATATGTGAATTGATGTATGTCGTCTTCTTCAGACTCAGTGACAAACCACGGTAACAAGCATCTCTCAGTTGATTTGAGCATGACTGACGTGCAGGCGATGGGACGATACCTCCCAGGGTCCTTTTTTGGAACAGGATTTATCTTGGCCAGTCTCCAAATATCAGGGATATTTCCGCTTATCAAACAGTTACTGAATATTTTAGACAATGGGGCTGAAAGGGTGTCCGCATATACGTGAGTACTACGGGTGATAGCTCATCCGGGCCTGATGCTTTATGCAATTTATATTCAGTAGCTTGGCTAATGCTCGGAGTTCGGATCGATTATTGGAGTAGGCGATTGATTTAAACGAACGATACACTCATTTGTCATGAAATCATGCCATTTTAAGTTAGATTGACCACCTTTCTTCCCACGCTATTTCTGTGTTGAAATGAAACAGACCTCAGTCGTGCATCTTGTCGAGCTCTGTGACGGACGTGGAATCGGTGGGTTGGTGAAGCCATGCTATTTGGGTGTGATAACCAAGCTGGACACCACCCGATATGCATGAGGAGTGACGCACTGTCTCGTGCCCACTACAGCTAAAGTACATTTGTTCGTTGTTGCGCTACCATTGACGATTCCCCAATAATCAAAGCTAACCACAGTAACTACGACCAGGGACGAGTTGTGGGTTTGCAGTGTAATCCGAGCGATGTACGAGAATCATGGATCTTGACAAAACATTGAAAATCGGTTTTCGTAGCTCGGGTGAACTGAAATCCACTTCGCCTGTTCGCCGAGCTTGGCAATCGCACAATTCTACGGACTGCCGAAGATACACAACGAAGGAATTCCCCTGAGGCCGATCGTCTCCCTTCCAGGAACAGCCACATACAATTTGGCAAAAGAATTATGGAACCGACTGAGGCCGCTCATCGCTGGACACGAGTATAGCGTCACGAACTCAAGACATTTCCTGGACAAGCTCAAAACTGTCAACATGCAAGAAGACGAAATAATGGTTTCGTTCGACGTCACCGCTTTGTTCACTTCAATTGACTTGGACCTGGCAAGATCCACGTTGCGGGAACTGATGACTGAGCACCCACCAAATCCACCAACGGAACCAGCTGCCATTTGCGAACTCATGGAACTATGCATGCAGACGTACTTCAAATTCCGGGGTGAAATCTACGAGCATCT